CAGCGTGTGCCGGTGCGCAGGGTGGTGGGTCCGTGGGACGTTAGCACGTGTTGCTCCAAGCGCCCGGGCACCAGCTGAGGCTCCCGCCGTGGAGCATGCCTGGCAGCTCTCCTAATGAATTCAGCGCTGCCCTTCACATCAAACAGCCACACAAGAAGGTGTTTTTCAGCCCCATCTTTATTCAATGCACCAAATGCGCCCGCTCCTGCGCCTCACCCTTGCAAACATCTTGTTCACAGCTGCAGCTTCAAAAGGACCAAGGGAGAAGGAGGGGGAAGCTGTGAGGTTCAACACAAAGCTGGGCTGCCTGCCATCACCATCTTCCACCAGGGAGGAATTGAGACCCCCCCGGACACAACCCCAGCTCTGCTCCCCCGAGATGCCCATGGCCGGCCGTGCTGCTGGGACCTGCCCGTCCCCAGCCACCCTGCGAGGCGACGCAAGGCACCTCCGGCAAGGTCTGGGGCTGGACTGGTGCTGGCAGCACCCACAGCTGAGCAGAGGGGCAGGAGGTGGATGGAGGGCAAGGGCGTCTGTCCTACCAGGAGCTGCCTCTGCCTCCTCCTCTTCCTCCCTGCTCCACTCTCAGCCCAGCCCCATCTATCTTGCAGGGCTGAAACCCAATTACCATCCCAGGGAGGGGGATGGTGCAGCCGGCAGAGATGCCCATTAGCTCCAGGGAATGGAGATGGAGCGATAGGAGCTCTAATGGCTTCTCCACAGAGCCCTGGTGTCAGGCTGGCTGCCCAGTCTGCGTGGGCCCTGCATGCCTGGGAGGCTGCTGCGAGCGTGAGGGGGCACCTCCAGCCCCCGTGTGCTCCTGGCTGCCCCCTGCTCCCTGCCCTGCTCAGTGGCACCTCTCCTTCCCGATGTATGTCCTCTGTCTGTCTGCCTTTGAGTGCTGGATGACGGACAGACAGCATGCTGCGTAGCGGAGAGCCTTGCAAGACGAGCTAGAGAAGGGCCCCAGGGCGGGGGGGTGGGGGGCAACAACGGGGAAGGACCCTCCTGCGCTGGGGCGATGCCAGCAGCCATTACCTTGTGGTTTGCACCCCTTGGCAGGGATCCTGAGGCTGATTTTGAGCCACTTACATGCGAGCGTGTGCACCCGTGCCTGCATGGCTTAAGGGCTCCCCAACAGCCCCAGCAGCTGCCTGGCTGTCCCACTGTAAG